ACGAACCTCACTAAGATACAGTCTGTTGAAAATTCTGGTATGAGGGTATTATAACTGAAATCTCCAGGAATTCTCAGGGATAGGATGGATAGACTACCTCTCCCACGTCCCAATACTCATGGAAGCACTGCCAGTCACCCCCACAAACCAACTGCAGAGCCACCCTGTAAGCTCTACTAATGGCGGATTCAGAGATCAATGGGTATTTGATCATTGTATAAATGAAACCAAGCACAAAAGTGTGTCAGTCTGCAACTGTACTTCATGATGTCTCACTATTAAAAATTTAAAAAAAATTAAAAAATTAAAAAACAAATTTAAAAGTAATTCTAAAAAAAAAAATTTTTAAAGAGATCAAAATCTCGGACCTGTGCACAGTTGAACAGGATCACGATCATCCTGTTGTTCATCAATTTCCTTGAGCAGGCACCAGTAATGTCTCCTTTGTCCTAGCCCTTGAGATTTTAGAAAGTGCCATATTCAAGGCTCTTTCAGGGTCAGGAGAATGAGACCCATCATTGTTACTGGTTTTTTGGCATATTGAGTATGCCACGAGAAGTTTGCCAGACTTTGTCGTGCGGGCAGGATGCTTTCGGTAGTCTGCCAAGTTCTCCAGAGTAAGAACTAGATAATAAGATGTTGTGCGGCCACAAATGAGGCCGTGTGCTTCCAGGAGCTGGATTTTATAGTCTCTGGGTCTTGTCCGTTGATGGGATTACCTGGCGCCGGGGGCAGTTGGTGGATGTGACGCCTACCTACTGCAAGATGGTGGATCTAGGTGGAGGAGTCCCAGTCCTGATCCAATCAGGCTTGGTGATCTCAACCCTGGGACCCTCATGCCTGTGTTCCTCTGCCGGTTACTTCATGTGTATGTAGAGTGGTCTCAGCCTGGCTGTGGCTGGTTCTGGAGGTCTTTGGCTGCCAGGGCTGTGCTCTGGGTGGGGAGGAAAACTCCACCCACCCCCCTCTAAGGGGCCCTGGTGAGGACAGCCAGACATGGAAACACAGCTGAAAAGACCTGGCTAAATCAGAAGTGGGAAGGTTGACCTGGGACCTACCCACACAGAGATCCTGGTAGCTGCTTGCTTCCACAAATTAAAATTGCCACCATATCCCCAGCCTAACTCCACTGTCTCAGGACAGACCTTACCAAGATATAATCTGCTGAAAATTCTGGTATGCGGGTTTTTTGACTGAAATCTCCAGGCTATCTAGGGGTCAGGATGAGCTACCTCTTTCCACCTCCATGTACTTCCAAAAGCCTCGGCAGTTACATTCACACCCGAAAGCATCCATCCAATTGAAAAGCTATTCCAGTCTTACTGTCCCCATAAAAATACCAAATGCCCTAAATAAACACGATGGCATCTTAGCACCTGTATTGCAAACCATAACACACAAAAGGAAAAGGAGAGAGCAAGAAGGAAAGTGCCTCCCCATAGAGAGAGGCTGGGGTGTGGGGGTGTGTGTGTGGGGGGGTCGAGGAATAGTGCTGGGGACCCCAGAGACATTGGTGGTGAGAAATGTGCACTGGTGGAGGGATGGGTGCTGGATCATTGTAAGACTGAAACCCAATTATGAACAGCTTTGTAATGATCTATTTCATGGATATCCAATTAAATTTTTTTAAAGTAATGTGAAGTTTATGCCCAATTCAAACATCTTAATCGATATCTGAATAAATAGCAGTACTACATTTAAAAAAAAGAATATCCTTTTGGTTACTAATACACAATATAGATCATTTCTACAGTTGCACTTTTAAACATCTTTTCCAAATAGAAAATCTTTATAGTAAGGCAATTCAAAGACATGCAGACAATTTTTGGTCTTTTCATGCCACCAATTAAAGGTACACCTTCTATGAATTTATAAAATTATAAATTATTTTCTATTCAGGGTGAATATAACCCTCTTTCGAGCTTCAATTTATTTCACTTTTAAATTTGAAATGAAATAAAACACGATTTGAAATAAAAGACTTCAATTTATTTTACCTATATTATATAATAACTTATCAGGGCCTATATTAAACAGAAAGAAAATTCCTTGAACGGTAACACAGAGGTTATTCTGTGGTTTGAACAGGTGTGCCAAATGCGGTGTTGTCAGGGACACTGAGGAGACCGTCCATTGAGGAACCGTTGATAATTGAAAATTCCTTGAAACTATACACAGGCAGATGTTATACCGTGTGTGTCTTGGGGTGTCCAGTTGCGGTGTTGGTACGGACACTGAGTGAACTGTCGAGTGGAGGACCGCTGGGATCTCAAGTTGCGTCCTTATCAGGGTGATGGTCAGGAGCCTCTGGGGGCTTCGAGGACGGGCCAAGGTCTTAACGCCTTGGGAAACGTACACAACGGGTGGTAAGGTGCGCGAGCCGGAGTTTGACTTGCTCCAATTCCTTCTGGGCCAGAACCGCCGACATCCAGTGCTGCTGGTTTCTTCTGATTTCTGCCTGGATTTCTTTGCGGGTTGCCAAGGTCCGGTCGCTGATTTCTCTGCACAGGTCTTCCTGCCTTTTCTGGTAGAGGACGCGGGCTTGGTAGGTGGATTTGATCTTGACTGTAGAGCTGAACAGTTTGTCCTCGATTTTGCGGCATCTTTGTTTACTCTCGTAGAGTGTGCTCTCCATCATCAAGTAGTGGTCTCGGACTTCCTGCTTCTTTTTTTGCTCCGATATCTCCTTGTCCAGGAGGTCAATCTCTGCCTTTAAGGTGTTCTCCTTAGTGAGCATCGTGGTCATCATATTTTGCAGGCTTTCTAGCTCTTCCCGTTCCTTTTGTATGTCCTCTTCCGTATTCCTCACTGTTCCGAGATCTAGGCCCAGCTGCTGGGGATTTTCGGTCCCATCCGGGTTTTCTTTCTTCTGGCGGGGCTGTCTCGGGCTCCTTGCAGAGGGTTGTTGCCGGCGCGCACCACGGCGGCGACGTTCAGAAGTTGGGCTCGATCGCTTCAGCTTCCTGGTTGTCCTTCCCAGGGAGTTGGTGGGTTGAGACATTATTGCTTGTTGAGGTTGTTGAAGGGCATCCACGGTTTCTCCTTGTTCCGTTCCATGTAGAAAAGCCTTTAGAGTGAGCCAAGTCATCACGGTAAAACACAGCACCCCTGCCCATAACCAAAGGGTGATGAGAATTAGGGGATTATCTGAGGCATGTTTCAGCCTGTAAAAAATCACTATCACATCATACCACAAAAATAACTGAAAAAGCAGACTAGGTCTCTGCCTAATCTCCATATTCACACAGAGCTCCTAGCTCTGTTGTGAAGTATAAAGTGGTCCCCAGGGGACCACTCAGAACCCAGGGGTGGGCCCCCTGACCAAACAATGGGGACCTAGCAACCATGCAAATCAGTTGGTTGGGGGATGGGAGGTCCTCCAACTTGTAAGAGTAGATTCAGTTTTGCTCAGGAGGTAAAAACAGATAAGGCCCCAATGATATAATACAGTGGGTAGGGCTCTGGCCCTGAGTAAGGCTGACCTTGGTTAGATTTACCAGTTATGAGCCCTGAACACAGATCCAGGAGTAAAAAACCTTGAGTATCACCAGATGTGGCCCCCAAACTTAAACATAAAAGAACAAAAGCAGAAAACAGTGACTGACTACAAGGGAGGGACAAAGTCTCGAATCTTTGCCACTTTGGGCTCTTTGGATCCTTCAGCTAACCAGAGCCTAAGAACAGGGCCTCACCATGTTACAAAGGGTATATTATGTCACTAAGAAAATAATCTACACCAAAGCTCTGATCCCTCTGTGCTACTTCCAATAGCACAATAACATAATTAGTACACCTGGCCACTGTTCAACACAGAACTTCCTTTATGGATAGAGTTTATTAATCTCTAACATCAATTTTCATAAGTCTAAGGTCACTGTTTCATTTCATTCTATGGTGCATGCTGGATTCATTAACTACTCTTAGGGCTTACTCAAGGCTCTGTGCTCTGGGATCACGTGAAAAGCTTATAACGTGAAAGCTTATAACTATCTCACAATAATTCAATAAAATTAAAGCATGAAAGAGGAAATATTTCTGGATAAAACTTCTCAGATTGAATAATTTTGTTTTACAAATAAAATTTAATATAGTTTTTTTGATAACTATTTTGTCCTGAAATTCCTGTAACTTTCTATCACAAATCACAAATCATCCTGTTAATCGTCGATTGCCTCGAGCAGGCCCCAGTATCGTCTCCTTCATCCTAGCCCTGAGATTATATTCCAGGCTCTTTAGGAGAATGAGACCCATCATTATTACTGGTATTTGGCATATTGGGTACAACACAGCGAGTTTGCCAGACTCTGCCGTGTGGGCAGGCTACATTCAGTAGCCTGCCAGTTTGTCCAAAGTAGGAATGAGATAATAAGATGTCATAAAGGCCGCATTTGCGGCCGTGCGGTTCCAGGAACTGGTTTTTATAGTCTCTGAGTCTTGGCTGTTCGCGTGGCCAAGACTCAGAGACTATAAAAACCAGCTCCCCCCAGGCGTCCGCCTCTGCGCTGGCAGCGGCGGGGCCGTGCCTCGGGAGGGGAATCAGGGAGCGGAAGCGGCGGTGCGGCCACCAGTGCTCGGGTTGCGGGTCCTGAAACTTGCTCGCTGTCGGCCCGCGGCTCCCCCGCCTGTCCGGCCCTCGCGGTGCCCCTTCCCCACCCTCCCGGGCCTCTCCCTGTCGCCTGTTGAGTCAGCCCCGGGGGCCCGGGCGGGTCCGCCCATGGGGCTGGACAACAATTTCTGTGCTCAGGCCGCCTCACGGCACCACGGCCTTGGGCGCCCGGCCACCCCGCAGTCCGCACCCCGAGTCAGGAGTGAGCTCGCAAACTTCCGGGGCGTGCGCATGCACGGGCCAAGCGGGGAGACCCCCCCCACTGCTGGCGCTCCGGAGCCCGGCGCCTCGGGAGGGCACCCGAGGAGCCCCGTCCCGGGCGGGCCTGGGCGGAGGGCGAGCCTGAAGCGCCTGGACGAGCCGGGCCGGCAGGTGACGACGCAGGAACACAGTAGTTATGGCCATCCAGGTAATTGGGCAGGCATCTGGAGGAGGAGGGCTGTTCCCTGGCAGCGGCAACATCGGCATGGCCTTGTCTAACGACATGTATGATTTGCACGGCCTCTCTAAAGCAGAACTAGCCGCCCCGCAGCTCATCATGCTGGCAAACGTGGCCCTCACTGGGGAAGTCAATGGCAGCTGCTGTGATTACCTGGTTGGCGAAGAAAGGCAGATGGCGGAGTTGATGCCTGTCGGGGATAACAACTTCTCCGACAGTGATGGGGAGGGACTGGAGGAGTCTCCTGAAATAAAAGGTGAGCCCAGTGGACTGCGCAACGTGGAGCTTCAAAGTTTGGAACTCAGTGTGGTAGAACCGCAGCCTGTGTTTGATGTGTCCGCCGCCCCAGAAGTTTACACCGCAAATAAAGAAGTCCCCCCGGAAGCACCTGGAGCAGAGGACAAGTGCAAGAACCTGAAGACCAAACCCTTCCGATGTATGCCGTGCCAGTATGAAGCCGAATCCGAGGAGCAGTTTGTACATCACATCCGAGTTCATAGTGCCAAGAAATTTTTTTGTGGAGGAGAGCGCAGAGAAGCAGGCAAAAGCAAGGGAATCTGGCGCATCCACAGGTGAAGAGGGGGATTTCTCCAAGGGTCCCATTCGCTGTGATCGCTGTGGCTACAATACCAATCGATAGGATCACTACACCGCTCACTTAAAACACCACACGAGAGCCAGGGATAATGAGCGAGTGCACAAGTGCATAATCTGCACCTACACCACAGTAAGCGAGTATCACTGGAAGAAGCACTTGGGAAACTATTTTCCAAGGAAAGTGTACACATGTGGAAAATGCAACTACTTTTCAGACAGAAAGAACAATTATGTTCAACATGTTCGAACGCACACAGGAGAACACCCATATAAATGTGAACTGTGTCATTATTCAAGTTCTCAGAAGACTCATCTAACTAGACATATGCGTACTCATTCAGGTGAGAAGCCATTTAAATGTGATCAGTGCAGTTATGTGGCCTCTAATCAGCATGAAGTAACCCGCCATGTGAGACAGGTTCACAATGGCCCTA